TTTATAGTGCACTATTTCTGTAATAGGGAGCGATTCTGAATGCAGGAGGATCTGACTCTGAACTGACTCCACAGACAGAACTGTGCAGCTGCTACGAGTTTGATTCCAATGGCTATATCAATCAATTCGACTGATTCATTGAAAAGAATCAGTTCAAAAGAGCAATTCTTCATTTGTGGGGCTTCGCTCTCATTCCGCCTCTGTTCTCTTAAGCTGATTCCTCCAGGTCTGATAAATTACGGCTTTTAACTTCATTTTACTAAACACATGAACATAAATGATGCTCCATATGATGTTTGGGATATGTTTTGTATATTATGATACAATTTGTAAGATTTCTAGTGGTATAATTTGCTATAAAGCTGCTTAACTTTCGTTAGCTGCTGAGCTAATAAGCTAACTGAGTGGCTGCTAGCAGCTCACTTTAGATTGACACACTAGTTAGCTAGGTTTATCTAAGAGAGCAAACAAACTCTAAAGTACTGCTAATTATGGGACATAATATTGACCAGCAGCTGGGTTATCAGTTCCATAAGCACTGACTGCCCTAAACATGAGATTATATATTTCATTTATCTTTGTTTTTTGTTCTGTCTGTGTTTCTCTGTACCTGTGTAAGTAAGAGTTTTTATCAAAACACTATGTATGTATTAGTAAATATTACCAATTTTCTTGAAGGTGGTATGTACATCACATAGTTATGGCCATGAGGAACATAAAGTCACTCAAAATAGTTTGATGTAAATTGTTCCATTGTAGAGAAATGTACAAACTCAGATTTCTTTACAGTGTGGGCAATAGGAACCAGAGGTTGGTTGGGATCCATTATATTTACATTTTCTAAATGACCAGTGAACCTCCATGTGCCATCTGGGTTTTTATATGTAATGTTGATGATGGTAAAAGAGTGGTAAATCTGAAGTAAGTTTCCTTTAAAGACTATTTTGTCTGACAACACCCTGCATGTATCTTTCTGCTATGAGTGATAAGGTATTTTTAAAGGCATCAAAGTCTTCGTCTGGTTCCTAAGCTGCCCAATTATTTAGTGGCTTTTAGATAGACCTTTCAGTCCTTTTCTTCACTGGAGCTTTTCAGCTTTTCACTCTGTCTCTTCCTCTTCTTCTGCTTCTGCTTCTTCTTCTTCTTCTCCTTCTTCTTCTTCTTCTGCTTCTGGTTCTTCTTCTTCTGCTTCTGCTTCTGCTTCTTCTTCTTCTTCTCCTTCTTCTTCTTCTTCTGCTTCTGGTTCTTCTTCTTCTGCTTCTGCTTCTGCTTCTTCTTCTTCTTCTCCTTCTTCTTCTTCTTCTGCTTCTGGTTCTTCTTCTTCTGCTTCTGCTTCTTCTGCTTCTTCTTCTTCTGCTTCTTCTTCTTCTGCTGCTTCTTCTTCTTCTTCTTCTTCTTCTTCTTCTGCTTCTTCTTCTTCTGCTGCTGCTGTTCGCCCCCCTCTTTCTTACTCTGTTTCCTCTCAGCTGTTTTTAAAAGGCGCTCACGCTGCCAGCAAGAATAGCACCCCAGGCGAGAGGGAATGAGAGCTTGTTTCTCCGCCTCCTCGTCACCGCCCCCAGCTCGCAGTTCGTCCGTACGGATTGGACGTGAGGTGGAGTGGAGCAGCCTTGCTGTGGAAGGGGCGGGGCCCAGGCGACGGAGCTCGGGACTCACTCCTTGCCCTCGTGCCTCTCATGGCCGGAACCATTGGTGACATCCTCCCGCCGTCACTCTTGTACCTCGGCGGAGCTCGGGCTTTATGTTCTGTCCCCCACCCACTCGCAGCCCTCTCCTCTTCGGGGTTCGTCACTGCTCGGTGTTCGGGCCCCACCTTCCGGCAGGCTCTCGCAGCCACCGTCAGAGCCCGGGGGTCTACCTTGTGTAAATTGTGAAAATTTGTCTTAAGCCCTATTCAGACAGGATTCATTTTGAATGAGGTGAGGTAATGTTATTTTCACCAGTGTTTCTGATTGATTTTGGTCCCATCCAAATCTGCCATGTCAGTCTTTTTTTTTTTTGTCAGTAAAGATCACGGCACTTTTCACCTTCTGTAAAATGACCCATAGAAGTAACCTCAGGATATATTAATTCTGTGCAAATCTATGTCTTCGAAAATGGTATCATATCATTAAAAAGTTTCTTAAATATGGAGACACTGAAAGAAGCATTTACTAGTGTTCTCTATGGCTAAAATAAGGCCAATATGTAACAATACTGTTAAGGATTGGTATTGTGAGAGGCTGTTATGCACAGTGTGGCCTAAGTCTTCCATCAGAACAAATGCAGCAATCCCCTTTAAATTCTAATTTATTTTAGAAGGAATTAAAGACAGTTTGCAAATTGAGTATGTGTAAAGATGAAGAAATGTTGCAGTGTAGTACAATATGTGTTCTGTATGGTAACAGTTTTAAATGGAGATTAAAACTTTGTTTCACTTGTCTTTCAGTGATGACAGCTTCTGTATGTAACCGCGTATATGTGGCGCATTATGGCGAATGCTGCCCTCCCTCACACGCACAACTTTGTTTGCTGTGAATTACCAGCTTATGGCGATCCTAATGACCCACTGTATTCACTTCAGATAGCAAAGTAAATGGTTAGAGAAAACAGTTTAAATTAGGAGTCTTCACATGCTTTCTAGTCTTTTCCAGAGTCAAGGCGGTGTGTAAATCGAGTAGCCACTCCTTTCTCTGCCATTTATACTGAGACTTATACTGATTTTTTATCCCATGTGAATTGATCATAAATATTACGGACGTCCTGCGGTAAACTGCCATCACCCACCTCCCTATATAAAACTAATCCTGTCCCAATAAGACTTTAGACAGCTCACTATGTCCAAACATGTGATTTGTGTTAAATTTACTTATTTGTGTTTTAGTCAAATGACATCACACTCATGCACAATGTCTTGTAAAGACATTTGCAAATAGTTATGTTATTATATATTTATTTTTTGTATAATTGTCTTTCTTTTTTGTGTGTTTGTATCTACAGGAAGTCTTCATATCAGACAAATTGTAAATATTTGTACTGTTATAAGTCAAATAAAGTTGCTCTTTATTTACGAAAACCAGCATCTTGGCATGTGAAGACAATGTCATGTCATGAAATGCATTTGTGATGTTTCAATTCAATCAAGTAGGAGCACTTCAGTGCTGTTTGGAAACTTAAGTTTGATACACACGGCGGACAGAGCGTCGGTTTCTGCCAACCAAGGAATTTACAAATCTAAGTTATGTTACCTCTGACTTTACGGCTTCGATTGATTGTTGTATTTGTGTAAACAACTGAACATATTTGTGTTCGTAGATCTCCAGGAATTGTTCCTGTGTTGAAATTTAGGTAGTTCACTTGTCTAAGGCAAATTCGTTAAGTGAAGCTAATGTTAGTTAGCTTAGCTAGCGGACTGTGTAAATGTGCTGGCTCTTCAAAACGAGAGAGTCCAGTATAAAAATTATTGACTGTTCACTGTTTAGTGTTAAGCGCTTTTGGTATGTAATTATCGATTAAATTCTATACTCAGATTTTTTTCTGTCCTCAGGAACTAATGCTACAGCAGCAGAGAGGTGCTGGCTGAGGGGCTGAGGAAGAGGAGCTGTTACGGGGAGAAAGCACATAACTTGCCGAGCGTATTTGGGGAAAACACGGTGGAACCAGCACTACAGACTGACGTTCTCCCTGAACAATGAAAAATACTTTAACTTACAGGATGATGTAGAAGTTCAGAAATAAAACGTTTTTAAAAATAAATACCATAAATGCTTATTTCTGCCTGCTTTGCTTCTCTTGTATTGCTGTGTTTATCACCGTTCAGTGAATGTTAACAGCTAAATTTCAGACTAGGAGCTCATACATAAGATGAGAATGCACAAAATAAAACGCATATTAGCCAAATTAACACATTGTGTGCAATAATTATCCTGAGTGCATTTTGTACAAAATCATACATCGTTTTTATTCTTTGTGTTTTAGAAATAAAGCAGGTTCATTAAGGTGGATGAGGACAGTGAATGAATTTAAATGACTCATGAACTGTTAGTCACGATTATCTGTATTTATTTGGGCTACCAAGTTGAGTATAGTTTAGGACGGATACGACTCCTTTAAGCAGCCAGATCTTCATACAAATTTCCACAACAGTGTCAATGCAGCAAAACAGCTGCTGTAGATGCGAGAGCCAGCTGTCCTTTTACACTGAGGTGATCCACCTTTACAGTCTGAGGGGAGTTTAAACTAACCAGCGACTGCGATTAAAACAGATAAAACGTGCACAGCGCAGTGAAAGTTATGACGTATTATGGTTCTGAAGCACTGTCCCAAATGCGATGCCTGCTAAGGTTCCTTTTCAGCTAAAATGCTGCCCAACTAGAGAGGAACCTTTAGGCAGCTGCCTCCAGAATGGAACACACTAATTAACAGAGGCTGAATGTTATCATTGATTCTCTGAAGTGTGTAATATGATGTATGTTGGGAGCACAGTAAATAGTTGGCCTAAATGTTGAATGAACCAAGCCTAGTGCTGTAATGACAGATGTGAGGTAGTGGCATTCTTTTTAATGACAGTGAAATCTGATAAGGGGCACTAAATTTGGTCTTGCACATACCCGTAGAAGAAATGGTTAGTTGTGCTCCTGACATATAAAATAGATTTACACTGGATTAAATTCAAACTACTACATTTATCCTGAGTTTTAGTGAGATTTTATTTGGATATAATTGATGTTACTGAATTTATGCCAGAATCAGAACATCATACCAAAAGTGTGAACAAGTGTGAACGAATATTAGAACTTGATGGGGCGCTCTGTCTCCAACTATTCCTTCAGCTGCACAGTGAATGAAGGGACAGGGTCACTGCACTGAGCCAGTACCAGTTATCTTCATGACTGAGTGTGAGAGAGTGCCAGAGCTCAAAGGTCCTATGTGAAAGGAGTGTCAGGGACAGACTTGCTGACACCACAGTCATAAACATGTTGCACACCAACAAGCAAGAGTTAATAAGAAAGTATGTTTTATTTGAGTCCTGAGGCACAGCTAGCACAGGTTTTTTCAAGATGCTGCGGAGCTGAATCATGCTTCTAATGTGGAAAACCGGATCACACAGAGGACACTCACTTTTAGGAAAATTGACACACTTGCACATGTGTTTAAAAAAGACAGACTGTTCGGCTCAATACCAACCATTTGCTGAAGAGGGCGCTGTGATTGTTCAAAGTACACTCTGCTCTCTTAGTCCTGTAAAAAAACACCTCCTCCTGCAGTGACAAACTAATCCAGTCAAAGTGAAATCTTCAGTGGCTTCCAATTTTGAGAAGAGAGTATAAATAACAGCACTTGATGAAAGGACACAGAGGTAATTACTGTATTTCTGACTTGACTAAAGACATTTCAGACACAGAGAGAGCAGAAAATAACTGAACTCTGTTCACAGAAATATATTATATCAACTGCATGTGGCCGCATGTATAGCTTCATGCAAAGTGCCAGAATCACAGTAAGAAAGACTAAAATAATGTAAATAAGTTGTTGCAGCTGAGTTTATATGTGGTATTCTGTGCTGGGTTTTGGGGAGGTTTGTGCAGTGTTAGTGCCTACGGTCAAGGCATGGCTATTGATGACCTACCAGCTATCCTGGCCATTCAGTAGCGCTGAGCAGCAGGTCTCCTCTGCTGCTACATTCAGTAAAAGATATATACTTACTCTACGCTGACACTACAATATTTCAGATGACTCTCAGGAGAAGTCATGAAGGAGACTTGACTGTATGTGTGTGATGACAGGATTAAGTATAATCTGAAGGAGTCATGACCTCCAAAATGAGCTCCTCTGAGGAACAGGACACACAGAAAGCTGAGAGGTGAGAAAATCATGTGGTTTGGTGTAAAGCGAGTTTGTTCTCATCTACACCAACATGCAGGAACATCTGTAGATCATGTCTGATACTGTGTGTGTTCTAGACTGGTTGAGGGTCAGAGATCTGACTCACCTGAACCCAGCTGTGTGTCCATGAAGAGTGTCGAGTCGTTGGACAGAATAATTACCTTCAGAGAGGATAACAGCTCTACTGAGCTCAGGTAAGGATCAGTCGGGTTTCTACATTCGGGGCTGATATATTTCTTTCTTTTTCTTTTTCTTTGTAACTAACATTGTTGCCTGTTTATCATATATATGACAGTGGTAGGGCTGTCTAATACATTCTAAATATCGTCCTGTACCTGTTGTGTGAATGCCATTAGGCTACCTACTTCTCCTAGCAGTCCTTGTTTGGTGAAAAAATGCAGTAAACATGCTCTGAATATTAAAGAATATATCAATCTTGTTCAAATGATATATATGAAGAGTATTTTGTTATGTTAATTGGTTGACATTTGTAGTGTTTAATTCTAAAAACATTATTTTCCATTATAATCTTACCAGTATTGTAATCTGCAAAAGGTAAACCAATGTCACAAAATAAACAAAGCACATGGCCAAGAGAATAGGATGTATCTTCCAGTAATATGCAATAAAATAATAGTTTAACACATTTAATATAGTAAAGTAAATAATCATTTTGTATGACAGCGACAGTTCAGTTTCAAGTTATAAGTTTAAATTATGAAAATTTGTATATCATTAGTTTATATATAAATATATGAATATACATTCAGCATAACACTATGTTTCTGCCAGATTAGAGAAAAGGCTGTGCTAATTACTGCTACTATTACTAATACTACTACTACTACTACTAATATTAGTAGCATAATAATTTTGTACGTAGTTTGACCAGAGGAGGATGGGTCCCCCCATGTGAGCCTTGGTTCCTCCCAAGGTTTCTTCCTCAGCTCTGAGGGAGTTTTTCCTGGCTTGCTCACCTGGAGGATTTACATTTTATGTTAAAACTTTGTCTTTAATGGATTTCTGTGAAGCTGCTTTGTGACAACATCAGTTGTAAAAAGCGCTATACAAATAAATTTGCCTTGACTTGACTTGACTAATTGAATACCATCAAACCTTTTCTACCTTTCTTTTATTATGCCTTTTTCATCCAACGCACATATCACTAGACTAAAATGTTCCCAAAGGCTAAATTCTGACTAATTGATGCTAAAAAAACGGGTGAAGGTTTTATCGATTAGCATAGCAGAAGAGCTTTGCTGCAGAATTACGAAAGCTCTTGGATTACAACCCCATTTCCAAAAAAGTTGGGATGCTGTGCAGAATGTAAATAAAAATAGAATGCAATGATATGCAAATCATGAAATTTTTGTGTTTCTTCGAAACATATATGCCTATTTTGAATTTGATGCCAACAACACACTCCAGAAAAGTTGGGACGGGGGCCTGTTTACCACTGTGTTTCATCACCTCTTCTTTATACAACACTCTGTAAGTGTTTGGGAACTGAGGAGACACTGCTGTAGTTTTGGGAGAGGAATGTTTTACTGTTCTTGTTTGATACAGGATTTCAGCTGCTCATCAGTTCAGGGGCTCATTTGTCGTATTTTTTCATTTCATAATGTGCCAAATGTTTTCAGTGGAGACAGGTCTGGACTGCAGGCAGGTCAGTTTAGCACCCAGACTCTTTTAATATGGAGCAATGCTGCTGTAATACATACAGAATGTGGTTTGGTATTGTCTTGCTGAAATAATCAAGGCCTTCCCTGAAGAAGACGTCGTCTGGATGGCAGCATATGTTGCCAAAACTTGTAGCATTAATGGTGCTTTCACAGATGAGCACGTCACTCATGCCATGCGCACTAATGCCCCCCTATACCATCATGAATACTGGCTTTGATAATGTGCTCTGATAACAAGCTGAGTGGTCTTTAGCCCAGAGAACACAGTGTCCATGATTTTCAAAAAGAATTTCAAATGGTAATTTGACTACAGGACACTTTTCCACTTCCCCTCAGTCCTTTTTAAATGAGCTCGGGCCCAGAGAAGGTGGAAGCATTTCTGGATGCTGGATGTTTGTTCTTTGCATTTTGGAGTTTTAACTTGCATTTGTGGATGCAGCGATAAACTGTTTTCACAGACAGTGTTTTTCAGAAGTGTTCCTGAGCCCATACAGTGATTTCCACTACAGAATCAAAGATCACGACCAGCAAATACTGGTTTTCAGCCTTGTCCCTTGCATACAGAGATTTCTCCAGCTTCTCTGAATCTTTTAATAATATGAAACTTTATTCTTGAACTATTTGATCATGCAGTCTTTCACAAAGTGGTGAACCCTTTCCTATCTTCTGAAAGACTCAGCCTCCCTGAGATGCTCTTTTGCTCTTTTCCAATCATGTTACTGACTTCTTGTCAATTAATCACTGTGTTCTTTTTTTTAACATTACACAGCTTTCTTTGTTTTTTGCCCCCATGCCAACTTTTTGGGAATGTGTTTTTGGCATCAAAATTCAAAATGGGCATATATTTTTCAAAAAACTATAAAATTTCTCAGTTTCAACATTTGAAATGAAATGACTTGCACATCGTTGCATTTTGTTTTTATTTAGATTTTGCACAGCGTCCCAATGTTTTTTGGAAATGGCGTTGTGCATGACATGTTTCAAGAGGTGGCAGTGTGATGCTGATGTAAATATACTGTACTGTGCAGGCGCCTTAATGATGCAACTCTCCCTCATGCAGTTAAAATTACCACACTGTTTGTAGAAGCTGCCCAACAATAATCTGTAAGCATCTTGAACAAACATAAATCATCACAACCATTCAGCACAATACTACACTTTCACCACATAATGAATTATATACTGCTTCCTATTATGGTAAAATAAATTAAAAATGTTTGTCTTGATAAAATCAATAGATTCATTCAAAGCTATTAAAATGTCTATACCCACTTTATGAATTTATGCACTGAATATGTGATTGGCCTGAAATCAGCCCGAAATGAATGAAAGTAAATGGAGGGCTTCTCTCAAATGGTTCTCTCATGTCTGATCAGATCACTTCCAGTGGCACACATTTGAAAGCAAAAGCTGGGGGCCTGACTGCAACATGAAAAGAACTAGGAGTCAAGAGCTGAGCAGTGAAAGCTTAGGCCAGCAGTTCACTTAGAGAGCTCGGTTAGCGTTCCAGCTATATGGATGGTGCTCAATAAAGGCCCATCTTGTAAAGGTTTTGTTCTTCTTCCTCTTAGCAGCAGCAGAATGCTACAATATATTTAAGCATCATTGGTTAATACATTCATATATCATTAACTTACAGTGTACCAAGAGTAAATTATCAGTGAAAGCGTTCTAAAACACTAGAGAGAAATAGCATTTTATTTACAGCCTATCAAAAAACACCATTCTTTACTTTCAGTTCAATAGTGACACTAAGTCATTGATTGTCCTTCAGATTACTGCATTGCTATTAGCCAATAATTTGTATTAGTCCACATTATCTCCAAACAGATATTATGTATTACAGAAAGAATTTCAATTAATGTGTCAAATTGTGGTATTAATTAACAGAATGAGTTAGCAAGATACTGATGATTAATGTTTATCATTATTAAAGACTATTCACATCTCACTCTGTTCTTTATTAATGTATACATGTCAGATGACAATATCAGAGATGGAAACTGCTCACATTTTGGCGAAAGGGCCCCTTTGTAGAATTTTGCTTAGAGCCACAGGGAGGTCAGAATAACAGTGATGTGAAATAAAGATATAACAGTTGTTTGTTGGTCAACATAGCTTTGCTTAGCTAGATAGGTAGTTAGCTTAAGCTAAGGGTGACATGGTAAAGAAATGTGAAAATGTCAACTCTAGATATGTTGGGATTTGTGAAAAGTAACACAAACATATTCCTAGGTTTTGATAATCACAAGGTCGTGTCTAATCTTTCAGTGGGCTGACTCAGAGTGGTCCATGGGTGTTTTCGGTTGTTTCTCTGTCCACCCAATGCTTTCACCTTTTACCCTTTACCTGCTTGCAACCCTGCAATATACACATATAACTGATATCAAACTGCTGATGTTCTCTGCGCTCACTCTGCTCTGTCCTTCTGGACGTACTTCACTAAAAATGTATAAATTAAACAATTGGAAAATACAAGCTCCATCCTTACATACAAGCACACAGATAATTATTTTTAAAAATATTTTTTGCTGTTGCAGTAAAAAAAAAAATTCTGAAATCTGCCCCCTCAGAGCCCCCACTTTCCTCGTCCCTGCATAATGCAAAGTCCTGCATGTTAAATAACTATAAACTACATACTGCAACCTCTCACATTTCTGCAAATATTTCATTATATCTTTTCATGGGACAACACTATAGAAATTAAATTTGGATATAACTTAAAGTAGTCAGTGTTCAGCTTGTATAGCAGTATAGATTCACTGTCCTCTGAAAATAACTCAACACACAGCCATTAATGTCAAAATAGCTGGCAACACATTTAATTCCCCCTGATAGTGAACATGTCCAAATTGTGCCCAACTGTGTCGTTGTCCCTTCCTGGTGTCATGTGACTCGTTAGAGTTACAAGGTTCCACGTGTGAATGGGGAGCAGGGCTGTTAAATTTGGTGTTTTGGGTACAATTCTCTCATACTGGCCACTGGATATTCAACATGGCACCTCATGGCAAAGAATTCTCTGAGGATGTGAGAAATAGAATTGTTGCTCTCCACAAAGACGGCCTAGGCTATAAGAAGATTGCTAACATCCTGAAAGTGAGCTATAGCATGGTGGCCAAGTTCATACAGCAGTTTTCCAGGACAGGTTCCACTCGGAACAGGCCTTGCCAGGGTCGACCAAAGAAGTTGAGTCCATGTGTTCAGTGTCACATCCAGAGGTTGGCTTCAAAAAATAGACGCATAAGTGCTGCCAGCATTGCTGCAGAGGTTGAAGGAGTAGGAGGTCAGCCTGTCAGTGCTCAGACCATACGCCGCACAATGCATCAACTTGGTCTGCATGGCCATCGTCCCAGAAGGAAGCCTCTTCTGAAGCTGATGCACAAGAAAGCCAGCAAACAGTTCGCTGAAGACAAGCAGTCCAAGAACATGGATTACTGGAACCATGTCCTGCGGTCTGACGAGACCAAGATAAACTTGTTTGGCTCAGATGGTGTCCAGCATGGGTGGCAGTGCCCTGGTGAGGAGTACCAAGACAACTGTCTCTTGCCTACAGTCAAGCATGGTGGTGGTAGCGTCATGGTCTGGAGCGGCATGAGTGCTGCCAGCACTGGGGAGCTGCGGTTCATTGAGGGAAACATGAATTCCAACATGTACTGTGACATTCTGAAGCAGAGCATGATGCTCTCCCTTCGGAAACTGCGCCACATGGCAGTTTTCCAACTCGATAACAACCCCAAACACACCTCCAAGATGACAACTGCCTTGCTGAAGGTAAAGCTGATGGACTGACCAAGTATGTCTCCAGACCTAAACCCAATTGAGTCCCTGTGGGGCATCCTCAAGCGGAAAGAGGAGGAGCACAAGGTGTCTAACATCCACCAGCTCTGTGATGTCATCATGGAGGAGTGGAAGAGGATTCCAATAGCAACCTGTGCAGCTCTGGTGAATTCCATGCCCAAGAAGATTAAAGCAGTGCTAGATAAGAATGGTGGTCACACAAAATATTGACACTTTGAGCACAATTTGGACACATTCACTGTGAGGTGTACTCACTTGTGTTGCCAGCTATTTAGACATTAATGGCTGTGTGCTGAGTTATTTTTGGAGAACAGTAAATCTATACTGCTATACAAGCTGTAGGCTGACTACTTTAAGTTCTATCCAAGTTTCATTTCTATAGTGTTGTCCCATGGAAAGATATAATAAAATATTTTCAGAAATGTGAGGGGTGTACTCACTTTTGTGAGATATTGTGTGTGTGTGTGTGTGTGTGTGTGTATGTGTGTGTGTGTGTATGTGTATATATATATATATATATATATATATATATAGCAATTATGACTCTAATAGCATTTTTCTTCATTTTTATCTTTTAGTCTGAATCAGAGAGAAAGACCAGACTCACCTGGACCCAGCTATGTGTCCGTGAAGAGTGACCGGTCAATGAGCCCTCCACTACTGATCAGACAGGAGGACTGTTCTACTGAGCTGAGGTAAACATAGTTTTAAGTAAGAATGCTGTCGGGAAATGTTCCTGATTAATCTCAGCAGGTGAGTGAGGTGTGTTGGAGCAGGTAAACACTACACTGTGGAGTGCTGTTGTTCTCCTGGACACTAGATCAGGGGATTCAATCAGTTTCACACATATAACTTTTTCCTTCTAGCTAATATCTAGCAACATATGTAAACACTCTCCCCTATCTGTTTTGTTATTGGGGCTGGGAGGGTTAATTTACAAAATGCACTTCAGATTACTGGGCCCTCAAGTGGCATATTGTAAATTGTCTTTGCTGCCCCAAAACAACTTCAAACGTTGTATTTTAATTTAAATAACATTGTTAAGAATTACTGCTTACAACATATTATTATTGTTATGATTATACACTAAAACTACTCAATGCTTCATATCACTGAGATTTTATTTCAGACATTACAGCACAGTCTTTGGAGTTGCAGGTTTATCACATCATTTTCTGTACTGTCACAGATGAATGATAATTTTGAATCTGTAAGGTGAAAGAAAGTCCAGCCTCTGTAGAAGAGGACAGGGCTATCAAAGAACACCATTCTTTACTTTCAATGTAAGATCATACGAAGAGATTTTGGACCTTTTTTAATAATCATGAAAATTTCACACAGTATTAAAGGCATCAAAAGGGTAATGTAAAGGACGTCATATTCAAAACAGAAAATTAAAAAAAAAAACATTTGTTCAACAGTGACACTATGTTGCGGTATGCAAGTCATTGATTGTCCTTTAGATTACTGCATTGTTATTAGCCAATAATTTGTATTAGTCCACATTATCTCCAAACAGAGATTATGTATTACAGAAAGAATTTCAATTAATGTGTCAAACTGTGGTATTAATTAACAGAATGAGTTAGCAAGATACTGATGATTAATGTCTATCATTATTAAAGACTATTCACATCTCACTCTGTTCTTTATTAATGTATACATGTCAGATGACAATATCAGAGATGGAAACTGCTCACATTTTGGCGAAAGGGCCCCTTTGTAGAATTTTGCTCAGAGTCACTGGGAGGTCAGAATAACAGTGATGTAAAATAAAGATATAACAGTTGTTTGTTGGTCAACATAGCTTTGCTTAGCTAGATAGGTAGTTAGCTTAAGCTAAGGGTGACATGGTAAAGAAATGTGAAAATGTCAACTCTAGATATGTTGGGATTTGTGAAAAGTAACAAAAACATATTCCTAGGTTTTGAAAATCACAAGGTCATGTCTAATCTTTCAGTGGGCTGACTCAGAGTGGTCCGTGGGTGTTTTCGGTTGTTTCTCTGTCCACCCAATGCTTTCACCTCTTACTAGTTTGCATCCCTGCAATATACACTTATAACTGACATTATATATTATATTATATTAAATTCTGCATTTGTATGTTTTAGTCTGAATCAGAGAGAAAGACCAGACTCACCTGGACCCAGCTATGTGTCCATGAAGAGTAACCGGTCAATGAGCCCTCCACTACTGATCAAACAGGAGGACTGTTCTACTGAGCTGAGGTAAACATAGTGTTAAGTAAGAATGGTGTAGGGAAATGTTCCTGATTAATCTCAGCAGGTGAGTGAGGTGTGTTGGAGCAGGTAAACACTACACTGTGCAGTGCTGTTGTTCTCCTGGACTGGAGAAGAACACTAGATCAGGAGATTCAGTCAGTTTCACTTTACTGACTACCTGGTAAAAAAATCTGTAAAATAATCCAAAGGATTACTATATTAATGTAATTTGATTATTTTCTATTATTTTAGATTACTTGTCTTTAAAATCCTTAAAAACATAACAGGAAAACAATACAAACAATACAAGTGACATATAATTGTGTGTGCGTTATGTGTGCTGGGTCTACGTCCATTTGAAAATGTCACAGCAGTGTTTTCCTAAAATGAGATGTTAACCTATTAGTTAAAGTAAAATGTTACCGTTTTTATGTGGTGAAGGGAAACAATCTGAGGAGTAGTTTTAATGAAAGCCTGCTAGTACGAGACTGGACTCGACAGAACCAGACAAGGCTTGCGGACTTTGACTTTAACACCAGTGACTCAGACTTTGACTCAGACTAGAGCCTTATGATTCAACATTCTCAGGAATCAAAGTGGAAGAAATGTAGAGAGGCATTTTTAATGTAAACGGATTTGTTTCCTGTTGTAGGCATGCCAGAACTGCATCAAAAGCATTGTGGCATCCTGCCACTGGCCATGGTGCTGCAGGAGCAAGGAAGGTGTGGCCAGGCAAAGTGGTCACCTCTCGGGAGGCGCTGTTATGCCAGTAAGAACCAGACATTTGTGTTGTTAATGTTATTGCAGTTCTAGTTTAGGCTGTGTTGGGTTGTGGGTGAGATAGTGGGTTTGTTTGTCTACCCTGATGTGAAGTTGTATGACTATTGGTGACCTGCCATGCTATGCCCTGTGCCTGAGTAGCACTGAGCGGCAGTTCTCAGTCTAGTTCGTAACTATGATGTGCATTGCTTATTTTATTTCAGAGGACAAGTGATACAAGTATGATAATACAAATTTGCCTCCATAAAACTAGAAACTGGCAAAAGTCAAAAAAGTATCAATGAGTTCTTGCTCAGCCCTTAAACTCCAGTCTTACTGTTGTAATTCAGCAGCTAACTCACCATTTTCCTCAAGATACTTTAACAAAAACAGAGGAAGTAACCATCACTTTGTTCTCTTTTCTATGAACTTCATTTAGTGCGGTTGAATTGATTTCTAATGTTTGGCATCTAAATTTAGTGCAGACGTGGCTGTTTTTAGTTAGTTAGTGGTGTTGTCATGTTTCACACTGTATGTTAGTCATAATTATTTATTTAAATGTGTTGAGAATGACCCACCACCCAAATAGTACCTGCTCTGTGAGGGTCCATGGGGGTCCTGACCACTGAAGAACAGGGTAAAAGGGGACAAAGTATGCAGAGAAAAAGATGGACTACAGTCTGTAACTGTAGAACTATAAAGTGCACCTACATAGTAAGTTGAGCTGATTGGGGTACAGTATTGAAATGATGTTATATACATATGTGAAGAATGCATACTGACTTGCTTAGGGTGCAGAGTTTAGGATTGGAGACTTGAGTTGTGGCTTGCATGTACTGACTCGGGACTGAGTTGAGACTTTCCTGTGCTGACTGGGGATTTGAATGTCAAGACTTGAGACTTGAGCCTACACTACACATTTTGTCTTGCCCAATTGTAACCTCAATTTCCCCCTTGCAATTAATTTTCACAATCTGAAAAGATTTTTCAGGTCAGGAGCTCGATCAGAGGTGACTGACAACACAGATAATCTGGTTGAGTGAGAGGAGAAAGGAGTGAATCTTTATCCCTCTGATCAAGCTCTGATCAGACACCTCCCGATATTGTCAAATATGTATGATATTTAAGACTCAAACTATCCAGTCCAGTAAGTTTAGCTTACATCATTTGATATCTGAGAAGATCTGTGATTTTGAGCTCTAATTTGTAGCACATTCCAACACCATGTGTCGCCTATGTTTTGCATCATGCCCTTTCTCTACAAAATGCAGGTGGTCCTGGTTATGTTTGTGGTTTCTGAGAAATCAAAGCCAAAATTTTGCAGTCCCCCACCCAATGACTTTTCTTTGTCTTTCATCAGTTTAGTTAATCACAAACACAATACAAACAAGTAAAAGCATCTCCTAGCCATTCATAATGTTGACAGTTTCATATGACAGTATAATATTTATTATATGTCTAGGATATCCTACAGTGTGTGCAAATTAAATTTTAAATAAATCTGATGTAATATGTAACAGCAAGGTTAATGTTCTTTTCAGTTTGTTCATTATAAGCTATTTATAACATTGCATTTACCAACAGAGACCAGAAAGAGACCACCAAAAATATGGAGTTCATATTCAAGGTAAGGCTGCACAATTATTGATTAATTTGGAATAACAGTTCTTATTTACAGTTCTTAACATTATTAAATTTGTAAAAAAAAATGTATAAATTAACTAAATTCCTAAAACTTGCAATGTGTATGTCAGCAGAGATCAATGTGAACAGCTATTACAAACATATAAACAAATGGGGCAGGACCTGGGGCAGGTCCTTTTCGTACCTGGAGTGGGCATGCCATTCTTTTCCAGGCTAGGACCATAGATCAGACCCTTTCAATGAATTGACCCTGTCAATGAATTTGAACAGGAGTGGAGACAAAGTCCAACCTTAGCAGAGTCCAACGATAACACTGAACGCTCTTAACTTTACGCTCTAATGTTGAGTATATGAACACAACTCTTACTCTGTACACACTGAGTACAAAGATTGAATGACCTGGAGTAGTAGCCCCACCACTCCATACACCCGGAGGACCTCCCACAAGATATCTCAGGAAACACGGTCATAAGCCTTCTCCAAATCCACAAAACACATGTAGACTGGGTTGGCAAACTCTCATGCCCCCTCAACAATCTGTGAGACAATAAAAAGCCGCTCCGTTGTTCCATAGCTGGGATGAAATCTCAGCTTGCCAACTACCTCACTGACCTCCACCAGGGAAATGGAGCCTGAATCGCCAGAAACCTCTGGCCCTGACTCCTGTGAAAGAGGCATGTCTCTCGGATTAAGGAGTTCCTCAAAGTGCTCCTTCCACTGACCAACAATATCCTCATTTGAAGTCAGAGTTTCTCTACCCCTGCCGAATACAGCCTGGGCAAGCCACCCCAACTGCTTCTGAGTCGCCTGATAGTTGTCCAGAACCTCCTTGAGGCTGACCAAAAATTTTTCTTCATGGCCTTGCTGAACTCCTCACCTGTGCAACTCCTGAGTACGAGAGGGACCAACCCCTATCAAGGAGTTTGGTTCCAGAGCCAACACTTGGTGGAGGTGAACTCAACTATATCTAGCCGGTACCTCTCAACCTGCCGCACAAGCTCTGGTTCCTTCTTCCCCAGTGAGGTTACATTCCACGTACCAAGAGCCACAGTAGTCTAGGGCCAAAAGTATGGGATGTTGCAGTAATTTCATTCACTATTTTATAGTTTACACTTAGAGCAAGGTCTGGTCAAAATCATGAATCTCAACATAAACCTCATAGATGCTTTAGATGACTTGGCTCTGAAGATCCCTAGATGACAGAAGCCCTTCTACCACGGCAAGGCCCAGATCTAGGAAGGGCCTCACAACATATGCAATGTTTATTTGCTTAATAACATGCAGATGTGTAACTTTGTGTCTCTAAATGCTTTATATTTAATAATAGACCACATTCACATATCATACATGTGCAAACACTTGAATTTTATGAAATATAATCAAAAATAGTAGTTAACGCACAAATAATTTATTACAATCATCTTTTTTAAATTGAAACCAATATAACTGCAGAGCACCTTGCACTCATTAACTGGACCCTTTCTGGGCCGTTTCTATTACTATTTTTTGTTTAATCAGGAGCTGGAGCACAAAGTCATCTCTCTGGTGAAGAATCAGCTGAAGAGGTTTGTGAAACTAATGAGCCTGGATTACCCAGCATGCTCTGAGAGAGAGGAGGAAGATGAGGCGGATCAGAACAGTGTCAGAGAGGGGGTGCTGAATATCACACTGCATGTCCTGAGGAACATGAACCAGACAGACCTCGCTAACACACTACAGACCAGTAAGAGTTCAGGGTCATGGAATTACTCACTATGCAGAGTTATTAGAAAATTTTTGATGATTATGATGTAATGATAATTATATTCTTCACAGCTGAAGAACTATTACATTTAGTTTTGTGAACATCCTTTTGTGGTGAAACCATAATATGTTGTGTTTGTGGTAAATGCTGAAACAGAACACGAATTGTTGGTGGTTATTTGTTTATTTAATTTTTGTTTATTAGAACTGGCACCTTCTTGTCATCAAAAGCTGAAATGCACACTCAGGGATAGGTTTCAGAAAATTAATGAAGGAATCTCAAATCCTGGAACCTCACTTCATCTGAATGAGATCTACACAGAGCTGTACATCACAGAAGGAGGCAGTGGAGAGGTCAATAATGAGCATGAAGTCAGACAGATTGAGACAGCATTCAGGAGACCAGCAACACAGGAGATACCCATCAACTGCAATGATCTCTTTAAAGATAAATCCATCAGAGCTGTGCTGACTAAAGGTGTTGCTGGGATTGGGAAAACAGTCTCTGTGCAGAAGTTCATTTTGGACTGGGCTGAAGGAAAAGCAAATCAGGACATCCTCTTCATGTTTCCACTTCCTTTTAGAGAGCTGAATTTGATGAAGGACAGAAAACTGAGTCTATTGGATCTTCTTCATGACTTTTTCAGACACACAAAGGAATTAAAACCTAAAGAGTTTTATCATTATAATGTCATGTTCATCTTTGATGGCCTGGATGAGTGTCGACTTTCTCTAGATTTCCAGAACAATGACAGCTTATCTGATGTAACAAAATCAGCCTCAGTTGATGTGCTGCTGACAAACCTCATCAAAGGGAATCTGCTTCCCTCTGCTCTCCTATGGATAACCACCCGACCAGCAGCAGCCAATCAGATCCCTCCTGACTGTGTTGACCAGGTAACAGAGGTACGAGGGTTCAGTGACCCTCAGAAAGAGGAGTACTTCAGGAAAAGAATCAGTGATCAGAGACTTGCTAAAAGAATCATCTCACACATGAAGTCCTCAAGAAGCCTCTACATCATGTGCCACATCCCAGTCTTCTGTTGGATTGCAGCCACTGTTCTAGAGAGAGTGTTGGGTGAAGCAAAGAGTGGAAAGACCCCGAAGACTCTGACTCAAATGTTCACACACTTCCTTGTGTTTCAAATCAAACATGGCAACCAGAAGTACCACCAAAAAAGCGAGATTGATCATAAACGAACAAGAAAGATTATTCTGGCACTGGGAAAACTGGCTTTCCAACAGCTGGAAAAAGGCAACCTGATCTTTTATGAGGAAGATCTGAGAGAGAGCGGCATTGATGTCAGAGAAGTGTCAGTGTACTCTGGAGTTTGTACCCAAATTTTTAGACAAGAGTTTGGACTGCAACTGGGGAAGGTTTTCAGCTTTGTTCATCTGAGCGTTCAGGAGTTTCTGGCTGCCTTATATGCATTTCTTTCTTACATCTCCAACAACATTAATGTGCTGCTACAGCCAGAAACTGGAGTTTTTGGTTTTTTCAAAAAGTCAACGATGTCTGACTTCCTTAAGGGTGCAGTGGACAAGGCCTTACAGAGTGAGAATGGACACCTGGACCTTTTCCTTCGCTTCCTTCTGGGCCTCTCACTGGAGTCCAATCAGACTCTCTTACAAGGCCTACTGACACAGACAGGGAGCAGCTCTCAGAGCAAAAAGGAAATAGCCGAGTACATCAAGAAGAAGATCAGGGAGAATCCCTCTGCAGAGAAAACAATCAATCTGTTCCACTGTCTGAATGAACTAAATGATCATTCTCTAGTGCAGGAAGTCCAAACATTTCTGAACAGAGGAGGTTCCAGTGGTCTCAGTGGAGTTAAGCTCTCTCCTGTTCAGTGGTCAGCTGTGGCGTTTGTGATGCTGAATTCAGAAGAGGAGCTGGATGAGTTTGACCTGAGTAAATTTGATCCATCAGAGGAATGTCTTCTGAGGCTGCTGCCAATAGCTAAAGCATCCAGAAAAGTTGTGTGAGTATTCATATGTTCATATGTTTTTAATATTGACATTGATGATTTCCTACTCGCTACATTTTAAGACATTTCACAGTTTCTATGTGTGTGGTGTTTTTCTGGTTTTGTTTTAAAGTTTCTTGAACAGTTAAAATCTCATAATTTTGCTGCATAATAGAATTAAATGTTAAATTAGACCTTTGTAAGCAAGAGGAGCATGAGACAGATGGATTATTTGCTGTCTTACCAAGATTAAATGACACTTATTAGTCCCACAATGGGGAAATTTCACCTCTGTAATCTAACCCATCCATGCAGTGAAACACCACATACACACTAGTGAAGACACACACTAGGGGGCAGTGAGCACACTTGCCCAGAGCAGTGCGCGGGGACTGCTCTGAGCACACTTGGCCTGGGGAGCAGTTGGGGGTTAGGTGCCTTGCTCAAGGGCACCTCAGTCACGTACTGTCAGCTCAAGGGATCAAACTGGTGACCTTCTGGTCGCAAGGGAGGTTCCCTAACCTCTAGTCCACAGCTGCCCCCAAAAATCTATCAAAAGTGCTCTGTAAGACCATGAGTGTGTGGATATGTATAGTATCTTTCTGTGATGTGCAGTTGCTCACTATGTTAGGTCCTCCTGTAGTATTTTCAAAATAGCATGTTGGAACATCACTAATACCATGAACTGTGGGATATATGCTTAGCTCAATACCACTTTGTTGTAGTATTCAGGATAGGTGGCATTTAGAGTGTGTTTAATGAGGTCTTGTGTTTTTGCATGTTTGAAAAATGGAACACACTTTAAAACTTACCAGAAAGCACATGGATGCACACACCAGCACCCAAAACTGCAAGTGTGAATTTTGGATCAAGCCTTCAGTCTTGACTTGGTCTTGGTCCCATATAGACTTTTTCTTGACTCATCTTTGACTCTATAAAAGTACAGCCCTACCAGGCAGTGATGTAAATAAGACATTTAATTAAACTTTAGGAGGATTAATGATGTGGATTAACCTTAAATGTACAATTATGTTTAGTTTTAAAGTTAGATGAATCATTAGTTCCAAAAGCTTCAGGTGACTTTAATGTAACGAACCTAAGAGATATAAAATGACGTGTCTGATGAAGAGGGGGCTTGAGTGGCTGAGACAGCATTAGATGGTCAGAGAAACATGAATAAAGTATGGGATTTTGCAGTAATTTCATTCACTATTTTATAGTTTACACATAGAGCAAGGTCTGGTCAAAATCATGAATATTTGTCAGCTATATATGTTATAACTGGGGTTTATAAACAGAACAAATACAGATATTTGGTTTGCTCTGAGAAGAACTGAACTGTTGTGTTTATAGATTTAGATGGATGGTTTTCACATTCATAAGAACACATTCACACAGACATAGGCTATTGACTTTTATTGTTTGTTGGTCACTTGGTCTAAAATATAGCAGGTTGTCCATAATAATTTACCAGAGGTTACAATAACAGCATGCCTTGTATGGTGTCATATAGAACAAATGGTTTAATGTTATGAGGTTTATGTTGAGAAAACATTTGTAGTAAAACTCATTTTACATTAGAATTTTGAAGTGATAGTTTTGAAGTGTGGAGATATCAGCATAACTGGCAAAAATCTTCTTTGATTTACTGTCAGCTCTTAAGATGCTATGCAGCATCTGTAAATGTCAATAATGTAATGCACACAAGGCATGCTGACAAAGATATTTGAGAGTTTGTGAAGACACACATAGTAATATTCAAATTCCTGTTTAGAGTTTCACTGTGCAATTAAACATCACTGAGAACATAGGCTTAACTTTAATCCATCCAACAATTAAACCCCTATTGTGGTGAGGCTTTAGAACCATCGTCTTCAGAAATATGGAAAGCAGGTATGCTGAAGGGGCTGCAGCACCCCCTGATTTCAGCACTGCAATTGCTAAGAACAATAATAATGCAGAGAGCTGAACCTTTTAATAATTTGAGCATAGTAAAGACCCATGTGTGCTCATTTTAGAGAGTTTTTTATTTTGATATTTTCAGAATTTGCAGTAGCTGCTGCTTAAAATTTCAGGACCGTCAACTTAAAACTCCTTCCCACATCCCTGAACGTCTAAGAGTGAAAATTTAATTGTCGCACATTTATGTGAAGTAAAAGTGCTTTATTAAGTAGTCAAAGTGTTGTAACAAACAAGGGAAAACTCCACTGGGGTCTCCAAAAAGAAAATGGAAGATGTTGCTCCCAAAAACTGTAACTAATTATTCCCACATCACACGTTGTTCATTTACATCAGCCAATGATGTTCAGTCATTTTTCTATTGAAAGAAAATGATAATCTCAACATCAAATTCAGAAACACACAAAACAGCTCCAACAGCACCCATAACAAAATGTGTCCAGTCATGCCTGAAGCTCCTCTTCTTTCCAGTTTAATGTCCTATACATTTTCATGTCTATCTTTTGCTTCCTTCTGAATTTTTTGCACCCCACCACCACCCATCTGCTCCCTCTTCCTCAGTCTTACCTCTGCTCATCAAAGAGGGGTCTAGCCTTCCAGCTTAAAGCAGGAACTGTTCAATCCAGAGTTCTTACCTACAATCATACTTGCCTTTTCCCATACTATGACTATAAGTTGAAGGCATGGTCCGAACTACTAAAATATATAATCATACAATTTAATGAGGCCTATTTGCAGGACCTCTGTTGGTACCTGCAAAGGAAGCTCACATGTGTTACTGAATATGTGTTTGTGTGTATGTGTGCAGTACTGACACAAAAACAATGCCCTCTGTGCTCCTCTCCATCATGAATGGATTTTAAAATATGTATTTAGATGAAAATGATTACAATTAAAATGATTGTAAAACATTGTCAAATAGCACTAGGTAGCATATTCAGAAACATTTCATGTAATAACTTTTGAGGTAACTTTTAAAGGCATTAAACGCTTCATACGTCTGGTTCCCATTACCACCACTGTGAACAAATCCGACATCCAGCATTTGTGAGATCAGACACTGATGTTGGATGAGAGGGCCTGGCTCACAATCTCTGTTCTAATAATCCTTTATTAGTCCCACAAGCAGGGAAATTCACAATGCTACAGCAACAAAAGGATAGCAAGACACATCTAAGAAAAAGAATTATCAGGAAGATAATTAACAAGCAAGATATTAGGCTTATTATACTTTATATGGTAACAGTTTGTTACTTACATGTGACAATGTAATACATATAATATATATATATATATATATATATATATATATATATATATATATATATACAACCTCATTTCCAAAAAAGTTTGGGATGCTGTGCAAAATGTAAATAAAAATAAAATGCGATGATGTGCAAATCACTTTAGTCCTATATCTAACTGAAAATAGTACAAAGACAACAAATCGAATGCTGAAACTGAGAAACAATATGTTCCAAAAAAGTTGGGACGAGGGCAAAAAAAAAAGACTGGTAAAGTTGTGTAATGCCAAATAAACACCTGGTAGTTGATTGGCAACAGGTCTGTGACTAGATTGGGTATAAAGAGCATCTCAGAGAGGCTGAGTCTTTCAGAAGTAACAATATGGAGGGGTTCATCCCTGTGGACTCTATGCTCAAGTAGTTCAACAATTCAATAGTAGCATTTCTCAACGTAAAACAGCAAACAACTTTTGCTTTTCATCATCTACGGTACATAATAACATTAAAGGATCCAGAGAATCCAGAAAAATCTCTTTATGCAAGGGACAAGGCCAAAACAACACTGTCTGTGAAAACAGTTCATCACTACATCAACAAATGCAAACTCTAAAACGCAAGAAGAAGAAACCACATATAAACGGGATCCAGAAACACTGCCACCTTCTCTGGGCCTGAGCACATTTAAAATGGACTGAGGGAACATGGAAAAGTGTCCTGTGGTCCGACAAATCAACATTTGAAATTATTTTTGGAAATCATGGACACTATGTCCTCCGGGACTAAAGACCACTCAGCTTGTTATCAGAGCACAGTTCAAAAGCCAGTATTCATGATGGTATAGCGTCCACTTTTTTGAAAATGGGACTGTATATAAAGATACCAAAGATAAAAAAATAGACTCTGTCCTTAACACAAAAACCTAAATATTATAAATAAAAAACCATTTTGTGCAAAAACCATGCAATGCTATAGCCTGTGCAGCACAGTGTGCATAAAACAATACACATAATGAAATCATGCGAGATATGGTGGGATCCAGAAACAACTGGGAGTTTGGAATAATAGGAGGAAAATCATTCGATAGGTAGGTGCATAAATTGATATATAACCCTATTTCCAAAAAAGTTGGGATGCTGTGCAGGATGTAAATAAAAATAGAATCCAATGATGTGCAAATCACGTAAACCATACTTTTAAAGAAAAATACCACAAAGGCAACATATCATTGAAGACAACATATGTTGAAGCTGAGACATTTTTTGGTTTTTTGAAAAATGTATGTCCATTTTGATATTGATGCCAAATACACATTCCAAAATATTTATTCAATCTCCTCTTTAGCCCAGAGGGCACACTGTCCATGATTTTTGTCCTTTAATGTAGTGCCATCTGAGGGCCAGAATATCATAATCAGCCAATATTGTTTTTTGCCCTTCTCCTTTGCATACAAAGATTTCTCCAGATTCTCTGAAATTCTGTGTGATATTATATACCGTACATGATGTAAACCCAAAGTTCCTTATTTATTTTATGTTGAGAAATGTTATCCTTGAATTGTTTCATTATTTTTCTGCACAGACTTTCACAGAGTGATAAACCCCTTCCCATCTCAGCTTCTCTTTAAACCCAATCTTGTTACTGATGTGTTGTCAATCAATAAAATTAGTTTTAAGTTGTTGCACCAGGAGTTTGTACACAATTTTATCAGTGTTTTTGCCCCATCCCAAACATTTTGAAATGTGTTGCAAACATCAATTCAAAATCTGCATACATTTTTCCAAAACAATAACATTTCTCTTGTGTAGTCTCATGTCTTCTGAATGAATGTGTGTTTAAGATGACAGTGTTTCTGATCTATCATCTTTTCGCTCCCAGGCTGTGTAACTGTAATCTCACAGAGGAAAGCTTTGCAGCTCTGTCCTCAGCTCTCAGTGCAAACACCTCCAGTCTGAGAGAACTGAACCTGAGTAACAATAAACTGCAGGATTCAGGAGTGGAGCTGCTCTCTGCTGGACTGGAGAATCCACACTGTAAACTGGAGAAACTAAAGTAAGATCATCACTTTATCACTTAAACACACATACACACACACACTTTTTGCTTGTTGTTTTGTATGCCTTTGTATGTGTATTTTTATTTTTACAAACACTTTCAATTTCTCTGTTTGTTTTTATTTTCTAAATCCCTTACAAACACAGTCATGCACACACACTTTCTCATTCTTGCACATGCTATCATTCATCCACTGTAAGTCTCTGTCTGCTGTACCTACGTATTGTTTAGTGCAGGGCTTAAAATTCTCCCTGCACTGCACCATAGACTTATAATTGTTTTTTTTTTCTTATTATTGTCATGATTTTTGGATTAGTTTGTGAGTCTCTTGACAACAATAACCAACAGAAGAACAAGTGATGACAGGTTTGAGGTATAGGTGATTGGATATTCTTTATGGTTATGAAAGTTGTGTTTAGACTTGGCTGCAAGAATAAAGTTTAATTTTGAGGAAAGAGTGAGTAGATGCATTTTTTCCATCATTTGGACCTTTTTAAGTTAATTTAAGAGTTCATATGTAGAAACAATCTCTGAAATGGCGATATGCACCACATCCTGCATTTATCTAGATTGTAGCCTACAACTTGCTAGGCTATATTTTACCAGGGGTGACTCATCTACAGGGCTATAGCCCCACACATTTTTAAACAGTCCTGAACTGTAACCCACTCCCCAAAAGAGAGAGGGAAATGATTGTGTGGCAAAAGAGAGAAAGAGAAAATGCAGATGATTATAGTGCAAAGGAAAAAAAAAACATGAGTGAAGTTTCTGTAAAAAAGGCAAATCAACTACACGGACAAAATTACGTCTATTAAAGTAAAAGTATTTAAAATATCAAATTCATTAAAAAAAGCGATTAAGTTAACAAATTAATTATCATGTGCGATACATTCTTTTAACTCATAATTTAAAGTACAATAAAAAAGTTTTAACATTCAAATCAGCTTTTACAGTGAACATAAAAATCATTTTGAGAGTTTCAGGTTGCACAATATAATGGTGGCAGACAGAACCAGACTCTTGCAGCAGAGGCTTGAGTTAAGAACCAAAGGGATTGTCCAGAATCAAAGTCAGCTAGAATCAAAGTCATTAATAGAAAATGTGGCATACACTGGATAGCAATTGGAAACACAGGAGAATTGCTCGGTATACACATGGATGTGACAATACTTCATAAAGAAGCTTACAAACAGACTGGTTAAATACAGGGAGTGATGGGTGTGTGTCATTAGAAGTCCGCAAAAATGAAGAGCAGTGATAGGTTGATCGGAGAGTGTCCTGAGTGATGTGACACAGGGGTTCTGGGAACTGTAGCCATGAGTGGCCGCGTTGGCTGTGGTTTATGTATAAAAACTACAGATTTCTGTTTCAGCAGTACATTTAAAAGGAGACGTATAGAAGAGATTGATGTTGAGAGGAAATAGGCAGGACACTTTATTAATGACATTACTAGGGAAATTACATTATCTGGCTGTAATTCATTTTTTTCATTTTCAGAAAACAATTCTACATTGAACTGGGATGAGCACCAGATCTTTATGTGCCCAGCAAATGACTCTTTTCCTATCTTATACCACCAAAATTGTCTCTACTAATGTCGATTTTTGTTTTGTTTTGTTTGTGTATATATATTTTGTTTGTTTGGGATTTGAGCAGTTTTGTTAATACACATTCATGTTTAATTAATAAATTTCTTCATTTCATGAACTCATTTTCCTTCCATTCTTTCTCCTTGCCCCTGAACACATTTCAGGCACAGACATTTTCCTTTCCTTTACACGCTGTTTCTGTGTGTGTGTGTGTGTGTGCATGTGTGTGTGTGTGTGTGGTAATATGACTCTCTGCTGTTCTGTTACTTGTGATGTTCTGACAAATAATTATTCCTCTGTGATGCTGTATGAGACCACATTTCTGATCTTTTGTAAACATTATTTAGTTTCTGTAAGACGCCCACTTAGTTTTGAAATCTGTGCAATTTGAATAATCTTATGTCTTTCAAATGAGTATATGTTTGAGATGACAGCATTTCTGATCTCTCTTAATTTTTTCTCCCAGGCTGTGTGGGTGTAATCTAACAGAGGAAAGCTTTGCAGCTCTTTCCTCAGTTCTCAACTCAAACTCCTCCAGTCTGAGAGAACTGAACCTGAGTAACAATAAACTGCAGGATTCAGGAGTGGAGCTGCTCTCTGTTGGATTTAAGGATCCATACTGTAAACTGGAGAAACTGGAGTAAGTTCATCACTTTATCACTGTGGGTGTAGATCACAAATACACAATCAAGTAGCAATGCTACAATGGAAACTCAAACACATATACCTATATTATTGACTTTTTATATTGTGTGTGTCTTTGTATGCATGTTTTGTTTTTGATTTTTACAGTGTTTTATTTCTTTTTTTATTTTTGATTTTCCAGTTTGTGTCTGTGAATCTCACACATTAAACATTTCTTGTCTGTGAATCTTATAGTCTATTGGTCTATTGTGTCAAATGCTGCACTAAGATCAAGGAGGACTAGCAAAGACACATTTCCTTGGTCAGAGAATAATAAAACATCATTTACAATTTTTACTAGTGCTGTCTCTGTACTATGATGTGGCCTAAAACCAGACTGAATTTTTTCATGTATATAATTCCTATGCAAATAGGAGTTTAATTGTTTTCCCACAACTTTTTCCAAGATCTTAGATATAAAGGGGAGATTTGAGATTGATAATTTGATAGTTCACACAGATCAAGGTTAGCTTTCTTAAATTTCTGTAAAAAGGGCCCTGTTGCTTTTGATGCTGTGTTATACCATTATTTTTCTGTGCTTGAGTGAGATAACACTCACTCAAGCACAGAACATTTATAAAAGTATGTGTTTGCATAACAGAAATAGAAAGTAAAGATTATAAAGATTGTTTGTCTCTTTTAGTTTGTGTAACTTATTGTATTATCATGTATTTTGAATGAATGTGTGTTCGAGATGGCAGTGTTGGTGATCTATCATCATTTTTTTTCCCAGGCTGTGTAACTGTAATCTCACAGAGGAAAGCTGTGCCACTCTGTCCTCAGCTCTCTGCTCTAACTCCAGTCTGAGATCACTGAACCTGAGTTACAATAAACTGCAGGATTCAGGAGTGAAGCTGCTCTCTGTTGGACTTAAGAATCCACACTGTAAACTGGAGAAACTGGAGTAAGTTCATCACTTTATCACTGTGGATGTAGATCAAACACACACACACACACACACACACACACACACACACACAAACACACACACCAAAACAGACACGCACACTCAAGCACAGAATCTCTCACACACACAAACCACATACTCTCTCTGTCTCACACACACATAAAAACACAAAAAACACAAACACGCAGATGCATTGCCAATTACACTCTTTACCCTTGCTGTGTATTTTTATAAGTATGTATATTTCTGAAGGAAATGTACATAATCATGGACCTGATTCACTTACTCACACACATACCCACTTACTCTCTCATTCACATACTCAGGCTCATTCATTCACATTTAGGCACATTCAGTCACATACTCACCCCTCACTCATTCACTTTTAGTATGCAGTCAAATAATCTTTGATGCTTCATAAGAGTACTCCTTTACTTCAGTGACACTGTTTGTTTTTATTTCTAACAATGGAATTTACTACTAATACACTCATTTCTTACTTAGATTTTTCTCTTGCACACACACACACTGCCTCACAGTGTGTTTGTGTGTAAGATGACATTTATGAACTTTAATAAAAGTTATTTTGTAGTTTCTATAGCTCTGCTTACTTCATTCTGCCCACTGAATGTGTGTATGTGTGTGTGTGTGTGTGTGTGTGTGTGTGAGAGTTCATTTGTAAGACTGTAGCTTTTCTCCTTGTTTCTGTATCTACAGACTGTATAACTGCAGTATTACAGAAGAAGGATGTGCTGCTCTGGCTTCAGCTCTGAAATCAAACCTGTCACACCTGAAAGAGCTGAATCTGAACTATAATAAACCAGGAGAGTCAGGAGTGAAGTTGCTGTGTGATCTACTGAAGGATCCACACTGTAATCTGGAGAAGCTACAGTGAGTTACTGATGTACTGTCTCTACACACATATTAACTGAATGGTGATTATTTTTTTAATCTGAATGAAAAGTATGGGAGCACAAGCATGTGTTTGTTTCAGTTTGTTCCATTATTCAGACAAAAAATGTTGAAATGGGAAAAGTTGAAAATGGTATCAAATATCAACACATAGTTGTAAAATTCAGTATCATGAAAGTCCTAGTTCAGATATGTATAGTTACGGCGTGTGTGTGTGTGTGGGTGTGTGTGTGTGTGTAAAAGTATAAGGTAATTTCGTTGTGTTTAGTGTAATGTGTACTCTCATTTTCTGAATGAATGTGTGTTTGAGATTACTGTTTCTGATGTATCATCATGTATCTCCCAGGCTGTGTAACTGTAATCTCACAGAAGAAAGCTGTGCAGCTCTGTCCTCAGCTCTCAGATTAAACTCCTCCAGTCTGAGAGAACTGAATCTGAGTAACAACAAACTGCAGGATTCAGGAGTGAGGCTTCTCTCTCCTGGACTGGAGAATCCACACTGTAAACTGGAAATACTGGAGTAAGTTCATCACTTTATCACTGTGGATGTAGATCATATATAAAACATACACACATACAAGCCCTGAAACATATACACACATTTAAGCTTATTTTGTGTTTGTCTTTGTACAGTTGCAATAAAAATTATTAAATCCCCAATGGAAATTAGATTTATTAGGAAAATGTACATACTTTCAGCTGTTTGTAATAAACTAATTAAATAATAATTTAATAAATTATTAATAATACATTTAAATAGCTCAGCAGAACTAATATAACAAGTGTCTTCTCCATATTCAACACAAAGTGCCACTTTTAATGACTACTGTAGTCTCAGAATTATTCAAACCTCTTAATGACAAGCATCTTAAATATTTAGTAGGGCACCCTTTTGGTGTTATGGCCTGCGACAAACATGATACATGGTGAGACACCAGTTTCTGGCAGCCTTCCTGAGGAATCTTAGTCCATTCTTCATTGGCAATGGCCTCCAATTCACTAATATCCTTGGATTTGCATGCTGCCACCAACTTTTTGGAAAAGCAGACCCAGATCATCACTGAGCCACTGCTATGCTTCACTGTAAGTAGGGTGTTCTTTTCAGCATATGGTTCATTCTTTCTCCTCCAGAAACACAGCCCCAAAAGCACAAAAAAGTTGTCTGCAGTATGCTGAAAACCATATAAAATGCCACAAACGTTTTGAGATTCTCTTCTATGGAACGATGAAACAAAACTGGAGCTTTTCAGTCCTGTCAATCAGCAGTACATCTGGAGACGGAAGAATGAAGCATACACTGAAAAGGACACCCTGCCTACAGTGAAGCTCTGAGGCTGCTTTGCTTTCTCTGGCACTAAAAACCTGCAGCATGTGGAGGGCAAGATGGATTCAATAAACTATCAGGAAATCCTTGGAGAAAACAGCATGCCTTCTGTGTGGAAGCTAAAGCTTGGGCATCATTGGAGTTTCCAAAAGGACAGGATCCCAAGCATACCTCAAAATCCACCAAGGCTTGGTTTCAAATACATCCTGGAAAATTATGGAATGACTGCCACAGTTCTCTAACTTCAGTGCCATAGAAAATTTTTGGTGGGTTTTTAAAAAAGTGGTTGCCACACATAAACCCAAGAATATTAGGAAACTATAAACCAGATTGTTTAGTTTATTGATAACAGCTGAAACAATGTAGATTTACATGTAGATGTAGATGCAGATAATGCACCTAATTTTCAATGGGTGTTCAATAATTTTGATTGCAACTGTATATATTTTTATTTTGATTTTTACCTGTACATTTTCAATTTCTCACTTTTTGTCTGGGAATCTCTCTTACACACATGCAATTTCCAATTCTCTCACACACTTTCTCTTTCATTCACTGAAAGTCTTTGCCTGCTGTGACTACGTTTTTGTTAGTTGTGTGTGTTAATGTAACTGTCCACCTTTCTATTGATTGTGAGGCTTTGATGTACCATCATTCTTCTGTGTGTCTGTGTGAGATGACATTATTTGCATTTATAAAATTTTTGTTTTTGTACCAGTTCTTACTTCATTTTGTATGAAAGACCTATGTGCATAGAAAACAAACATGAAATAAAGGTCATATTGTTTGTTGTGTTTTGTAGTTTATGTAGCTGATGTATTCTCATGTTTTCCAAATGAATGTCTGTTTGATTGTTTTTGATCTATCTTCATTTTGTTCCCAGGCTGTGTCAGTGTGACCTCACAGAGAAGAGCTGTGCAGCTCTGTCCTCAGTTCTGAGCTCAAACTCCACCAGTCTAAAAGAACTGAACCTCAGTTACAATAAACTGCAGGATTCAGGAGTGGAGCTGCTCTCTGCTGGACTAGAGAATCCACACTGTAAACTGGAGAAACTGGAGTAAGTTCATCACTTCATCACTGTGGATGTAGATCTCTCTCTCTCTCTCTCTCTCTCACTCACACACACACACACACACACACACACACACACACACACACACATCATCATCATCATCATCATCATCAGCATCGTTAACTGCTTAGTCCAGACAGAGTTGTGGTAGCAGTTGGGAGAGCAGAGAATCCCAGACAACCCTGTCCCCCGCAACTTCCTCCAGCTCCCAGGCCAACTTGGAGATATAATCCCTCCAGCGGATCCTAGGACGACCCCATGGTCTTGTCCCGGTAGGCCATGCCTGGTACACCCCCACCGGGAGGCGCCCAGGGGATATCCGGATCAGATGCCCGAACCACCTCAGCTGGTTCCTCTCATTGTGGAGGTTTAGTGGCTCTACTCTGAGCTTCTCCCAGATGACTGTTCAACAGTCAGGATGGAATCCGCATTGTTCCTCCTCAATCAAAGGTTCAACTCTTGGACGAAGTTTCCTTTCCAGCACCTTGGCATAGACCTTCCCAGGGAGGCTGAGCAGTGTGATACCCTGGTAGTTGGCACACACCCTCCGGTCCCCTTTCTTAAAAATAGGGACCACCACCCTGGTCTGCCAGTCGAAGGGTACTGTTCCCGAGGTCCATGCAATATTGCAGAGACATGTCAGCCTCGACAGCCCCACAATATCCAGAGCCTTAAGCATCTCTGGACGAATCTCATCCACCCTGATGCCTTGCGACTGCAGAGTTTACCAACTATCTCAGTGACCTCCACCAGGGAAATGGAGCTTGACACGCCAGAAGCCTCTTGCCCTGACTCCCATGAGGGAGTCATGTTTCCCAGATTAAGGAGTTCCTCAAAGTGCTCCTTCCACCGACCATCAATATCCTTATTTGAAGTCAGAGTTTCTCCACCCCTGCAGAATACAGCATGGGCAACACCACCCCGACCCCTCCAGAGTCGCCGGACAGTTGCCCAGAGCCTCCTCGAGGCCGACCAAAAGTCTTTTTCCATGGCTTTACCAAACTCCTCCCACGCCCTGGATTTTGCTTCTGCCACCTTTTTTGCCTGTCGGTACCTATCTGCTGAGTGGGGAGTCCTTGGGCTATCCTGTCCCTAAAGGCCTCTTTCTTCAGCTTGACGGCCTCCCTCACCACCAGTGTCCACGACGGGGTTCTTGGGTTACCACTCTGACAGGCACCCACAAGCTTATGGCCACAGCTACAACTGGCAGCCTCCACAATGGAGGTTTTGAACAGGGTCCATTCAGATTCCATGTCCCCCACCTCCTCTGGGACATGAGAAAAGCTCTCCCGGAGATGGCATTTAAAATTATTATGAACAGGGGCCTCTGACAGTCGTTCCCAGCACACCCTCACTGTTCACTTGGGTCTACCGGGTCTGACCATCAGTCTTCCCTGCCATCTGATCCAACTCACCACCAGATGGTGATCAGATGACAGTTCAGCACCTCTCTTCACCCGAGTGTCCAGAACATATGGTCCCAAGTCAGCTGAAACGACAACAAAGTCGATCATTGACCTTTGACCCAAGGATGCTCTAGTGCCATGTACACTTATGAACATCCTTGTGTTCGAACTTGGTGTTCATTATGGACAATCCATGCCTAGCACAGAAGTCCAGTAACAATTCACTATTCAGATTTAGATCAGGCAGGCCGTTCTTCCCAATCACGTCTTTCCATATCTCCTAGTCATTGCCAAGTAAGTCTCCCAGTAAGACTATGGAGTCTGTAGGTGGGACCCTTTCCAGGACCCCACCCACTTGCTCCAGTAAGGCTGGATACTCCAACCTGTTGTTTGGCACGTAAGCACACACAACAGTCAGAGTTTTCCTCTCTGTGATTTTAATTCGCATTAAGGCGACCCTGTCATCCACTGGGACAAACTCCAAATGCACGGCCACCAGCTGGGGACTCGAGAGTATCCCCACACCCGCCCGGCGCCTCTCACCCTCTGAGTAGGAGAGGTACCAACCCCTATCCAGGAGTTTGGTTCCAGAGCCGACACTGTGGGTGGAGGTGAGCCCAACTATATCTAGTTGGTACCTCAACCTCCCGCACAAGCTCTGGCTCCTTCCCCCCAGTGAGGTTACATTGCACATACCAAGAGCCCATTTCTGCCGCAGGGGCCTAGGCCGCCAAGGGCCTCCCTGCCATCTCCCACTGCCTATACATCACTGCACCACTCCCCCATGCTGGACCTTGCGGGTGGTGGGCCCACATGGTCTCCCCATGTTGCCTCTTTGGGCTGAGCCCGGCCAGGTTATGTGGGCTGCCTGGCCACCAGGCGCTCGCCGAGGGACACTACCCCCAGGCCTGGCTCCAGGGGTAGGTCCAGTGACCCTCTCCTGGGCAGGGTACAGGGTCGTCTGTGTTTGTTTTTCATGGAGGGTTTTTGGATTGAGTTAGTCTGGGTCTTCACTCCAGACCTGTTGACCCCGTGAGACCCTACCAGGAGCATATTGCTCCCGACAACTTAGCTCTGAAGATCCCTTGACCACACAAGCCCTTCTGCCATGGCAAGGCCCCAATCCAGGAAGGGCACACACACACACACACACACACACACAGAAACATACATACAGGTACATACAAACAAAAAACACATAGAAACACTCACGCATACACAAACACAAACTTTTGGCTTGTTATTGTGTGTATGTGTCTGTCAGAATATGTAGACTATATGGACAAATGTTTGTGCACTCCTGCTTATCCAATGTTTCCACCAAAATCAAGAGTATTACACATATCTTTGATCCCCTTCTACTGCAGTAACTGTCTGTACTCTTCTGGGAAGGCTTTTATGCTAGATTTTGGAAGGGTGCTGTGAAGAATTGACATTTAGCTACAAGAGCAGTACTCCAACTCCTCTTAAAGGTATTGGATGGTGCTCCATTACTGCAGAGAATACAGTTCCACTGCTCAATGTCCAGTGCTGGGGGGGAGTTTATACCCCCCTAGCTGACACTTAGCACTGACCATGGTGACCTTAAGCTCATGTGTGGCTGCTCAAGCATGTCTCCTTTATATTGGCAATGCTTTTCTAAGGAGATTATACAAGAGCATTTGTGTGCATTTGAACTCCTGTATCAGTAGTGGGTGTGCCTTAATACAGCTGAATTCACTAGTAAGAAGGGGCTGCCACAAACCTTTGGATATACAGTGTGTTTTTTTTTTTCAAACAAATTTTCAACTTTTCACTTTGTTTTAGTTTGTAAATGTCTTTCACCAAACATTCTTATTCTCACACACACACTGTTCATCCACTGTACATTTCTGCCTGCCATGTTTTAGTTAATGTGTGTGTTAATTATCTGCTATTCTGTATTTTGTTATGTTATGATGTACCATTATTTTGTTTGTTTGTGTGAGATAAAATTGATGAAGATTAACTTATTCTTTTAACATCTCTTATTTCATTTTGTATGCTAAATCTGCATGCTATATATATATATATATATATATATATATATATATATATATATATGTGTGTGTGTGTGTGTGCGTGTGTGTGTGCGTGTGTGTGTGCGTGTGTGTGTGCGTGTGTGTGTGTAAAAGAAGTAGAAGGTAAGGTTCATAAATGTTGTGTTTTGTAGTTCATCTAATTTGTTTTCTCATGTCTTCTGATTTAATGTGCGTTTGAGATGAAAGTATTTGTGATGTATCATAATTCCTTTCCCAGGCTACGTAACTGTAATCTTACAGAGGAAAGCTGTGCAGCTCTGTCCTCAGCCCTCAGCTCATACCCCAGCAGTCTGAGATCACTGGAACTGAGTAACAATAAATTGCAGGATTCAGGAGTGGAGCTGCTCTTGGTTGGACTGGAGAATGTACACTGTAAACTGGAGAAACTGGAGTAAGATTATCACTTTATCACTGTAGATGTAGATCTCTCTCTCTCACACACACACACACACACACACACACACACACAAAAACAAAAAGATACCTCACAAACATACACACACTCACAGGCATGCATACACACTTTTGGCTTGTTATAGTACATATGTTTTTTAGGTGCAAAACATTCTACAGACCTGGCTCACTCATTCCCTCAGTCACATACATACTCCCTTAAACACGTACTCACCCACTCACATATTCACTCACATACTCATCCACTTACATACTCATCCACTCACATATTCACTCACATACTCATCCACTTACATACTCATCCACTTACTCACTTACTTCTTTACTCCCACACTCACCCACTTACTCAGATCCATATACACTCACTCAACCTTTCACTCATACACACATCAGATCATCGGGGTCACTCTTCACACACCCACAACACCCACACGGACCCACACACACATACATAACACACACACACACACACATACATAACACCCACGTGGACCCACACATACATAACACCCACACGGACCCACACACATACATAACACCCCCCACACACACACATATACATAACAATGTGGGACTAACTCACTCCCCATTTCTTGCAGTTCCAAATTATGGAACTGTGATGAGGCAAACGTGTTGCCCATCACCAGAGACTATGTATGTGTGTGTGTGTGTGTGTGTGTAATACTTACCTGAACACCTACCTGTAATACTCACCTGTTGTCTGTTTCCTAGTGCAGTCAGCAAAAGGGAGGCAGAGCAGACGGAGCTCACTCATGAGCGTGCCGGAGGGCCCATGGCTAGCTCATGAGAGGAGTGATGTCTCTAACCTAGGTCACAGAAGACAGAGTGAGACAGGCTAGTAAACATGCGCACTGTATGAAATATCCTACCAGTAATATTATATATTAAGGCCTTGTGATATGCAATTATGATTTTATTTACCCTTGTTTTAATCCACTCTTATAGGACAGCAACACCCCTGCAGAGTGGAATGGTTCAGCTCAGGTGATGCAGGGGTGAGGCTAACCCTATAAGAGGCAGGGGAACGGTTTAGTAGGGGCTAGCTTGAGGATACTCACCTCAGATTGCGAGGAGACTGAGGAGAAGAGTGTAAGAGCTAAGCTAGAGAGTATAGTCCTATGGCCTTGTGGCCTAAGACTACTTATACTTACCTGTACTGATTGAGTCAGGTCAACATTTTAACCTCCGTTTACTTTGTGTTTGTACAGTTTTTCTTTTGAGTGTTTTCACCTTATAAATAAATCACACTGATTGCAAAGAATTATTCAGAGTTGTCACATCTTCATCCTGCAACTGCACCCTACTTACCTATTCAGTCACAATCTACCCGGTGACTTTGTGTCTCCTCACGGTGTTATGACCCTGTGGGTCATAGTTTTTGTAGTGTGTTTTCTGTATTTATTGCAGAGCTGAGGGAAGATGCACTGAGCCACCACCAGGGGGAGCCGCCAATAAAAGAGAGACGCCCAGGTGGAAGTGGGGGGTGCTTTTGCTTCTGGCGTGGCTTCTGTTGCGTTCCCGGTTCCCTGCAGTCACTTACGTGACACTACTGCTGTAGGGCTGTGTTGGTGTGAGAGCTTGGCTGCTGGTGTATGGTTTATTGGTGTTTTGCTGTTTGTCATTGAGATTTCTGTAAAAGCTCGCTCATGCCGTTACTCTTTCATTGAAGTACACTGTAAACACTCAGCTACCATTGCTGCCCAGACAATAGCTCTTGTACATAAACACTCATTGGGAAAGAGGGGGTTAATTTTTTTTTGTTGTCTTTTTCTCTTGGTTTGCTTTAGTTAGGAATTTGGTTAGAAATTGTATTTGATTTTCTTTTGTTTGTTAGGTAAGTTATATTTTTCTAAACTTAAGTTAGCTGTGTTTTTGTTTGTTATTTTACCCTTCCCTCTCCTAACATTTCATAAATGTCTAAAGCCTTGAACTCTTGAAAATAAAGCCAAATTGTTATTGTCGCAAACATTGGTTGTCTGTGTGACTTGGGGAACCGGAGGGCACGGAGATCTCTTTATTTTTATGTTGCGGCCCGACCTAGACCGCACGGGGTTCGGCAAAGCATCGTCACAGGAACACTGTATAAATATAGTTACTGCATTTCACTGAAACACTTCACTTGATATGACTGCAGATCTGAATACTTGCATTTTTGCACATTTTAGTTCCACAACAATAGCTGATTTTGCATTTTCACGTCTTACTTCACTTTAACATTGTTAGCTGTTAAAATTACTGTATCAACCAAATACTGTATACTGATGCTCTGGTTGCTACCTCAGAGACTGCTATGCTCATATATGTTAGGCTATCTGCTTTTCTGCTATAGGCTTTCTGTTATGTATTTATTGTAAGTCTTTTCTATTTATTTATTGTACTGTATTGTCTGCACTGTGTTTATTGTATTGTCTCACTGTTCCTGTGTTGGTCCTGGAGGAAGGTTGTTTGTTTCACTGTCACTTGTATACAGCTGGAATGACAATACAGCCTGACTTGACTTGACATATTCAGTCACATACTCACTCAAATACTCATTCACATACTCACCCACTCACATACTCACACACATACTCATTCACTTTTAACAGTCATTTTGTTTTTGAAGCTTCATGATAGCAGTGCTTCACTTTAATGATACTGATGGTTCTTGTTTTGTAATAGTGTGAATTTCTTTACATTAACATATTTACTCTCTCATTTTTAACACACTTGCACTGTGATTCTTCCACAATACATGTCTGCCTGCTCACCCTACTTCCTGTTGTATATGTGCGTGGTAATGTGTGCATGTTATTTTATTGAAATAATGTTTTCTCCCTCTCTCTGCAGGCTGGAATTATGCAGCATTACAGAAGAAGGCTGTGCTGCTCTGGCTTCCTCTCTGAAATCAAACCCCTCATACCTGAGAGAGCTGAACCTGAACTACAATAAACCAGGAGAGTCAGGGGTGAAGCTGCTCTCTGATCTACTGGAGGATCCACACTGTAAACTGGAGAAGCTACAGTGAGTTACTGATGTACTGTCTCTATACACACATTCACTCATGAATGGTTATCTACCTCAATCTCCTTCAGAAACACACACAGGCACATACATTACTGTGTTTGAGGTAGTGGGGAGTTACACTACACCTGTGGGATGGCCTACTTAAGAGCAAGGCTCGGCTTCAGGCTCGTTTCTTCTTTGTATGAAGTTCTTACAAAGAAATCGGCCAGTATATTGGGTAGAGACGAGTGTTTTTCTATCGCATCTCTTTTTGTCTGTTTAGCTTCTTGAGATCTATCCTGTTTTTCTCGTGGTACAGCTGTTACTACTTTAAGAAAAAGAAAAAAAAGTTGTGTTTAAGGAAGTCTGTTATGTTCCCACTATCTTTATAAGTGTGACATTAAGGAAAACTTTAGTTAAGGAACCTTCAGTTGGTGTTTGTTTTTTGTTCCATGCTGGCCTGTTTTCTTGGTAGTCCTTTGTTCTCCCTCGTACAGTAGTGTTAAGGCGGGAAATTTAGGTTTCGACCCATTTTCAGGCTCATTGTTTTAAAGGATGCTCCCATTGAGCTTTTTCCACCTCCTTTGTGGTGGTGCAGCGGAAGCACACACACCTTCCAGCAAGAGTAAGCGATTTCGATCCCCCGATGAACTCATTAAATCTCCTGTGCTATATTCCTTCATCTTATTAGTTCTGCATTTGGGTTCTCCTTAGGCCTGTGTTGGTGACAAACTCGATTCACGTTAGGTGAATTCAGGGGGAATTCTGGGTTTGAACTTCCCTCTGAGTGGGTCACCCATTACATTACCTTTTTGTAGTTTAATATGTGGTTTGTGTATGGTTTGAGTCTGTGCTGTACACTGGAGATTGGGTCTGTGCTGTACCCCAGAGATATTGAGTAAAAAACAGACAGCACTACAACAATTTACAAAATATTAGTTTCTCATACAATAAGTTTCTCAATATAAGTTTCTCAACAGTAGAGACGTGTTTCAACTGTAGGACTGTGGGTAAATTACAATAACGTCAAACATCTCTGCCAGATGGTTACACTGAACAAAGTTCTGTAATTTAACAGCCTACATTAGAGAGAAAAAGCATTAAAAAGTTTAATATTTGTGTTCCAAATTGTCCTTGGGTTGATGAATGAGATGAATGGCTAACAACATCAATATTTGGTCAGTTTTCACAGGAATTGCAGAGTAGTCCCAGTGAACATTTAAAATCCAGAAGTTTGCATGTGTTATCTTGTCTTCACATACACAAACAGCATTCTGGTTTTGAAAATCATCTTGGTGATGTGAAGTTTGTGGTTTATTGATTGAATGTTGCACTGCAAAATCCTCTGTGTAAATTTCATTCACTTAATGCTGAAATTAACACTATCCAAGTGTTTATATAATTCTCACTGGTTTGGAGTTAAAATTACACTTTTATAGTGTGAACATTTTAACTAACTGACAGTGTTAAATTTCTAACACTCTTTGTGTTGTTTTATGACACATGAAAGAGGACTTTTAATACTAAAATCAATTCAAATCAAATCAGATTTATTGTCACATCACAAGAGTACAGGGACACAGGTGAGTGAAAAACTTGAGTGCGAGTTCCACAAATTATGCAGAGAACAGTATTTACACATAGATAAACAAAACTATAGATAGGATAGAAGAATAGATAAAACCAATTTAACTAAAATATATACATATAATCTTACACAATAACTTAAAAATAATAATATTGCACCGAGACATATAATATTGCACTGGGAATGTAGGGTGGGTGTAATCAACTATATACTATATATAGTAATGGATATTACAATGCTATGTGGATGTGCAAATAATCACACTAGGTGTGGAGGTAGAAGATGGTACAGTAGGTGGCAGAGTATTTAGTAAAGTGCAAGGTACAGGAAGTTAAGTGGAAGCGCAGGGGGAGAGTATTGTCTTTGGATAGGTATTCAAAGTCCAGCTATGCAAGTAAAGTGCGGGAGTACAGTGGGTGCACGTACGTGTAATGGGAAGGGTTGGGCTGGGCAGAGCAGTGATTACTGGCTGTTCAGTAGCCTGGTTGCAAATTGTGTCCTTTCACTAGGAGTGTTACACTTATTTTCTGACACATATGACAAGTATTTTAGAAGAGTTTACCTCCATATTAAAGTATGCACTGCGCTTCCACCATTAAAGTTTTCACCAGATATAAAAATGCTTCTACAATCTCTTGCAAGGCTACAGAAAATTTGGATGAACATTGTCATGACTCTAATTCTTCTTATTCTCTGTATTTAGAGACATTTAAAACTTTTGTTGACCCACAAGACTTAAAAGTGAAGAAGTATAATAAATCATTAAACCATCATCAAGCTCTTTATTCAGGAAAAAAGATCTTTCAAGCACCATCGTGATATGACATACGGTATCTCACAAAAGTGAGTGCACCCCTCACATTTCTGCAGATATTTTATTATATCCTTTCATGGGACAACACTATAGTAAACTTGGAAATAACTTAAAGTAGTCAGTGTACAGCTTGTATAGCAGTATAGATTTACTGTCCTCTGAAAATAACACACAGCTATTAATGTCCAAATAGCTGGCAACACAAATGAGTACACCTCACAGTGAACATGTCCAAATTGTGCCAAATTGTGTCGTTGTCCCTTCCTGGTGTCATGTGACTTGTTAGAGTTACAAGGTTCCAGGTGTGAATGGGGAGTAGGGCTGTTAAATTTGGTGTTTTGGGTACAATTCTCTCATACTGGCCAGTAGATATTCAACATGGCACCTCATGGCAAAGAACTCTTTAAGGATGTGAGAAATAGAATTGTTGCTGTCCACAAAGATGGCCTAGGCTATAAGAAGACTCCTAACACCCTGAAACTGAGCTATAGCACAGTGGTCAAGGTTATAGTTTTCCAGGGCAGGTTCCACTCGGAACAGGCCTCGCCAGGGTCGACCAAAGAAGTTCAGTCCTACAGTCAAGCATGGTGGTGGTAGCGTCATGGTCTGGAGCTGCATGAGTGCTGCCAGCACTGGGGAGCTGTGGTTCATTGAGGGAAAAATGAATTCCAACATGTACTGTGACATTCTGAAGCAGAGCATGATGCTCTCCCTTCTGAAAGTGCACCACATGGCAGTTTTCCAACACAATAACAACCCCAAACACACCTCCAAGATGACAACTGCTTTGCTGAAGGTAAAGGTGATGGACTGACCAAGTATGTCTCCAGACCTAAACCCAATTGAGTCCCTGTGGGGCATCCTCAAGCAGAAAGAGGAGGAGCGCAAGGTGTCTAACATCCACCAGCTCTGTGATGTCATCATGGAGGAGTGGAAGAGGATTCCAGTAGCAACCTGTGCAGCTCTGGTGAATTCCATGCCCAAGAGGTTTAAGGTAGCGCTAGATAAGAATGGTGGTCACACAAAATATTGACACTTTGAGTAAAATTTGGACATGTTCACTGTGAGGTGTACTCACTTGTGTTGCCAGCTATTTAGACATTAATGACTGAGTGTTGAGTTATTTTCAGAGGACAGTAAATCTATACTGCTATACAAGCTGTAGGCTGACTACTTTAAGTTCTATCCAAGTTTCATTTCTATAGTGTTGTCCCATGGAAAGATATAATAAAATATTTACAGAAATGTGAGGGGTGTACTCACTTTTGTGAGATACTGTATATACTCTCTTCTCCGCTTTAAGTCAAAGTGCTTGTAAATTACAAGACTGTCTGCTCAGATAACATTTTTCTCATCACTTTAAATTGCTTGGTAGGCATGAAAATGTTCACATCAGTATTACACTGTTGTCTACACAAAAGTGACAAGATAGACCAGGGACTCATCATAAGAAAGGTTGAACATGTAGTGGCTTTTGAACAGTTCCTCAAAAGCACCCAGTGTGCTGGTGGCTTGATAGGGGCTGAGCTGTTTGTCCGCAGTGATGTAGAAACGTATCAGTTCTGTGCTGGCTTTGGCCAGCAGCAAGGATGTATGGTTGTTTACTCACCATCTATTCCTCACAGATGTTCATTGATGCTGCAGCATGACTGAAAAACAGAACAATAACAATAACACCTTAAACTGCTAGATCAGATTCTTATCCTTACAGTGGTATTTGCTGCTCTATGCTTAAGTGTAATAGATCCTCCAGTTGGACCAGTCAGTGCAAGCACATGCACTTTACTAGGAGTATGTTTGAATGTCTCTCTCCACTAATTTTAGAAGGAAAACACTATTTTTTGCAAGTTTAATAAGACAATGTCTTTGCAATGTGTTTTTAATTCAGTTAATATGACTGAAAAACTGTCACATGGGATTGTAACAGATGAGACATACGTACCTTTGTGTAAGTGCACCAATTTGTCCACCATCACTGGGAATTATTTTTATTCTCTTTCGTACAGCTGTGGGTGGCAAAAGAAGGGGCAGCAGAGAAGCCATGTCACAGTCCCAATCTATCAGGAGGAAAAACAAGTCATTAGTATCTACTTCGAATGCACAGAGGAAACAGCACTAGCTATTTAGAATAAACCAAACATATTATGTAGCTTAGTGGTGTCACTGTTGTTCTCTGCAAGTTTTTTCATTAGATTTCAGAAGTCGCTGCAGATTGGTTGACTGAGTCAAGTGTTCGGCCTCTTCATCTTGTGCATGAATGCTGTCTCCCATTTCTCAAGCATCCTGGAGGCTGTTTCAGCATCAAACAGCAGCCAGAAGTCTTGTATTTGATGTATTTTCAACAGGTATTTCATCAAGCC